ATTCATGACCTACCCCATCTGCCCCAACTTGAATTTTCCTTCCTTTGGGTAGGGAAAGATTTGACAGTTTCTTTTTTTTTCCCTCCTCTTTTTTCTCCTTGTCTTTCCTTTTGATGTCAGTAGTGACTCTTCCTTTGATTCTTTTAAGATATCATCTGTTTTGATTGTTACAGTTCTCTATAAAACATTTAATTTATTTTTCTTAAACATTTATATATTTTCTGTTCTTAATTTTGCTAAACATTTTTTTGTTTGTTTGTTTTTGTTTTTGAGACACGGTTTCTATGCAATTCAGGCTGGCCTTGAATTTTACGGTATAACCCAGGCTGGCCTCAAACTTGCTGTGATCCTCCTGCCTCAGATTCCCAAGTGCTGCGGTTACAGGCTGAGCCACCACAGCCAGCTTGCTGAACACTTTTTAACATTTAAATAGGTTTAATTTATAAATAACACATATTAAGGTATACAATTTAAAATTTGACCTATGTACATAAAAATAACCACCAGTTATGATTGTGAACATCTCAGTTATACCCAAAAGCTTTCTTGTGCCTTCTAAACCCTCCCTCTCACCTTTCTTTATTCCTAATTCCTGCCTAATCATTGGTCTTCTAAAACTACAGGTTAGTTTATTTATACATGGAATTATTTAGGTTTATCGTTTTTGTCTAGTGTCTTTCAACATATTTGGAGACTCATTGTTATGCATATCAACAGATTTTTAAGAAAATGCCAAATGGTTTTGCAAACAGTTTGTACCATTTTATATTCCCACCAGCAGTGCATGAGAGTACCAGTTCTTCAACATCTTCACCAACACTTGGCAGTGGCCAGTCTTTTTCATTTTAGACATTCCAATACGTATGTAGTATGTAGTAGTATTTCATAGTTATTTTATTTCCTTAATGACTAATTATATGAAGCATTTTTTCATATGCTATGTGCCATTCTTGTCTTCTTTTTGGTGACATGTCTGTTCAAGACTTGCCTATTTTTAAATTGATCAAAACATTTCTGGGCAACAAAGGCAAGCCAAGAGGCATCACAATCCCTGACTTGAAATTATACCGTGGAGCTACTATAATAAAAACAGTGATATTGGCAAAAAAAAAAAGTAAAACAGACCTAAGGATCAGTGGAACAGACTAGAGTTCACAGAACTGACCCCAAATACACTCGGCCACCACCTATCTTTGACAAAAATTCCAAACACATTCACTGGAAGAAAACCTCTTTAATAAATGGCGCTGGGAAAACTGGCCTTTTTTTTTAATACCAGGAATCAAACTTGGGTTTTTACCTGCTGAAGTCTAAGATTAGACCCATGTCCCATGCACTAAACTAAAATTAGATCAAAGATCTAATGTTAAAATTAAAACATTTAAATCTGCTGGAAGAGAGACTAGGTAGAACTCTTGTGAGATATGTGTAGGCAAAGACTTATGAACCAAACCCCAATCACACAGGAAATACTACAAAGAATCAACAACTGGGATTTCATCTTATTAAAGAGTTTTCCTATAAAAAATTTTTAAAAAAAAAAAAAAAAAAAAAAAAAAAAAAATCACCAACAGAATGTAGAGACAACCCAGAGTGGGAAAAAAATTTTAGCCAGTTGTTCCTCAGACAAAGGACTAATAACGAAAACATATAAAAAAATTGAAAAAAGGCAGGACCCACCCCCGAGATTTAAAGATCCAACCCAAAAATGGTCACTTGAGATGAATACATACTTCTCAGATGAAGTATAAACAGCACATACATATGTGAAAAAATGTTGAAGAGATGCAGATTTAAACAACACTGAGATTCCATCTCCAGAAAGAATGACTGTTATCAAGAAATCAACAGATGCTGGTAGGGCTGTGGAGAAAACAGAACCCTTCTCTGCTGTTGGTGGGAGTGTAGACTGGTGCGGCCACTTTGGAAATCAGTGTAGAGATTCCTCAAGAAACTAGGATCAGAAGTCTCATTTGACCCACATGTTCCCCTTCTGGGTATCTTCCCAAAAGAATTAAAAACATCATAGTGATACATGCTCACCCATGTTTATAGCAGCACAGTTTGTAATAGCTAAATCTTGGAAACAACCCAAATGCCCATCAACCAATGAATGGATAAAAAGGTATGGTTCTTTGTTTACTGTGGAATATTAACCATAAAGAAAGATAAACTTGAGAAATTCCCAGGTAAATGAATACACCTTGAAACTATACTCTTAAGTGAAATAAATCAGACACACATGTCTGATGTTTAAATTCCTCATTGTCTCTAAGAAAGAGAAAGTATAAAAAAGGACCAAAATGTGTAATAGGTATTGTGAAATAGGAAGAAATTATTCAAAAGGAAAAGGGAACTAGGGAGTGGTGAGAGAGAAAAGAAGGAAGGAAAAAAAATGAGAAGGGTTGGGGATTTAGCTCAGTGGTGCTGTGCCTGCCTCACAAACACAAGGTCCTGAGTTTGATCCCTGGTACCAAAAAAAAAAAAAAAAAAAATTAGTAAAGAAGGATAGAATGGAAATAAAGCTTTGTAAAAAAAGAGAGGAAGAGGAGTTAAGGGGAAGGGAATGGGCAAAAAAGGAATCAAGGATATCATGTACAGGTACAAATTCCCTATGATGAACGTGATCATTATGTATATTTAAATTATACCAATAAATTTAATTTTAAAAAGCAAACTTTTAAAAACTATCCCCCCGCTTTGGTACTGGGGATCGAACTTGGGACCTTGCGTTTGCAAGACAGGCAGCAGAACCACTGAGCTAAATCCCTAGCCCTAGCCCCTTTTATTTTTTAAATTAATCAAAATCCCCAGGCCACCTCCCCTTCCATTATTATACTACACCATTGGTATAATTAATGGTATCTCACAGGTCTTTTAGGCTCTGGTACTTTTTCCTCATTCTTTTGGTTTCTTCCTCAGACTGAATTATTTTCCTTATATTCAAATCCACTAGTTTTGTTTTTTGAGACAGGGTCTCACTATGTAGTTCAGACAAGCCTTGAACTTACTTTGTAGCCCAGGCTAGCCCCAAACTCACAGTGATCCTCCTGCCTCAGCCTCCAGAGTGCTGGGGATTACAGGCGTGTGCCACTATGCCCAGCAAATTCACAGATTTTTTTTTTTTTTTTTTTTTTTTGTACCAGGGATCAAACTTGGGACATTGTGCTTACAAGACAGGCAGCAGGCAGCACCACTGAGCTAACTCCCTGGCCCAAATTCACTAATTCTTAATTTAAAAAGAAAATACTGTCCAAATCTTTGTAGAGTGGTTCTGTGTTGTGACCATTCCTTAATGTTTATCCAAATTATCTCACAACTGTCTTTTGTGCTGTAATGCTTTAACTTCTGCTACCACTGAACTGAAAGATCAGCTGCTTCCAGTCTCCCCAGGTCTTTTCCTCCCAGAACATGTACATAGCTTCATGTGCTCCCCAGTGTATGAGTGTTTTTGTTTGTTTTGCAGGTCTGGGGCTGAGTAGCTAAGTTGCCCAGGCTGGACTCTAACTTGCAAACCTGCCTCAGCATGCCAGAGTGCTGGGGTACAGGTGTGTGCCACCACACCTGGCTATAAAGTGCTTTGCTTTCAAATCCAATCTTAATTGCCCAAAGTAGGCCATTATGTAATGAGCATCTACCCAGAAAGAATATTACCAATTTTTTTTTTCTTTCTTGACTGTGCTAGGGATTGAACCCAGGGCTTCATGCATATTAGGCAAATACTCTACTCCTGAGCTATACTCCACCCTATTAAAATTCTTATACGTTTAAAAGTTTGGATTTCTTTGTTGCAGAATACAAATTATTAGAAAATATTTAAAATATCACCAAGATTGCTAACAAGAGTTTTAACCTAAATAATTCTTCTCAAATAAAATACCCAAATTAAATATTGCATGGGATATACATGTACTAAAAATTTGCTTATCTGAAGCTCAAATTTAAGTAGGCATTCTATATTTCTGTTTGCTAAATCTGACAACCCTAGCCATCTCTCCCTACCTCCACTAGAGACTTAACCAGTGGGCATTCTACCACTGAGCTCATCTCCAGTTCTTTTTATTTTTTTGTTTTGACATAGGGTCTCACTAAATTATCTAGGCTGGTTGAACTTGGAATCCTCTTGTTTCAGCCCCTCAGAGTGCTGGGATTTCAGGCTTGAACCACCACAGTCAGCTTACAACCATCTTTTTATAAAGTCATTGTTTTAAACAGTTTATACAGACTGCATAAATATTAGAGCAAATGAAAAGCTTGAAGCTTAATAAAAACATCTAAAACCAAGTATGAAGGGATTTTCAATGATGGCCCACCAGAGTATCCACAGTCTGCTCTCAAAAAAGTTCAAAACCAACTTTCCCAAAAGGAAAACTATTGTTTATTGCTAATACATAGGAATACTACAGAATAGGACTGTTTTATGTTTTAAGGTTGGAATGAAACTCATTTCACTTAGTAAAGACAAAAGGCTCACCTGAAGCTGGAAACAGGTTAATAGTAAAATTTCATTAAACTCAAATTTACTAAGTCGAATTAGTAGATATTGCTTAAAATAATAGAACCAAGAGGATATAAATCTATGATCATCTTTTTTTTTTTTTTTTTTTTTTTTTTTTTTTTTTTTTTTTTTTTTTTTTTGGTGGTGGTACCAGGAGTCAAACTCGGGATCCATGCACTTGCAAGGCAGGTAGCAGAAGTGCTGAGCAAAATCCCCAGCCAAACCTAGGTCTTAAAGAAACAACTTATAACAGATGCTTAGTTTTGTGTATAATTCTTTAGAGTTAAGTTAAAGCTTGCTTGCTTACTTGCTTCTCAGCTTTTGAGAATGTCAAAAATTTACTTTTTGAAAAATACCTTTATAATCCCTCAACTTTAAAATATTTTATTACAGCATTTTAAAATACTATTTTTTTTTTAATCCTGATTTTTTTTTTTAGCAGATAAACTGAAAAGCTTAATAAATGTTTTTAAGGCACACTGACATGTATTTTGTGTTACAGGCAGTGAGGTCACTCAAGGAGACAATTGAAGACTGTTGGGACCAAGATGCAGAGGCACGGCTTACAGCACAGTGTGCTGAGGAAAGGATGGCTGAACTCATGATGATATGGGAAAGAAACAAATCTGTGAGCCCAACAGTCAATCCAATGTCTACTGCTATGCAGAATGAGCGGTAAGACCCTGATGAGTTTGGCATCTATCAACTAGTTTTGGAAACTGAGACCAAACAAATAATAAGAAACAAATATAATTCAACCAACCTAATAGATAATGATTCATTTATTATATGATATAAACTCACAGTTTTTCTTTCAGTATTGCTGTTCTTTCACTGAAAATATCTATTTGGTATGACTACACAATGGAAACTGTTTTTTGTGTCTTACAGTGAGGGATTAGTCTATTCTATTATTTCATCTTCCCTGCAATAATAATGGTAAAATATTTTCATAGTTCCAAAAAATGTAGAAGACTTCTACATGTATCTAATATACTCTGTTGTTTTCTCCCCCACCCCTCTTTTTTTCTAAGTAAATGTAAATGGAACTGGGCTGGGGATTTAGCCTAGTGACACTACGCCTGCCTCACAAGCAAGCACAAGGTCCTACTTAGATCCCTAGTACCAAAAACAAAATTGTAAATGGAACTTTGAACTTGTCTATGTATCTAATCACTGTTTCACTGGACACTGAGGTTTCCAGACTTCTTACACAAAGCTATTTCTTATCAAATGCATTACCAATACTTTTATATTAAAGCAATTCAAAATATCTTGCCATTCTACCATAAACATTGTTTTATAAAACAATTTCTTTTCTTAGAACTATGATTTTTGGTTCTGAAAAAAAGATTTTTTTAAAAATTTCTATGAATGGAATGTTTAGACTGGATCATCTATATGTTTATTCATGTCCAAAAAGCCTTTCTATATGTTTGTCATTTTATCAAATATATGTTTAAAAATTTCAAAGAATCCAGGAAATGGTTATCAGAGAAAATTGACAAAAAATATACTTCATTCTTAAACCAGTTTCTTTGCCATTTTCTATTCTCTTTTGTCAGAGCAATTTTTTATGAACTGTTTGTACTACTTACAATAAATTGAATTACCTTCAGATATAAACTCTTAAATCTTATACATGAACAAGTAAAGAAAGTGAGACTAGCCATTCTAAATATAGCCATGTTCAAAATATTCAGTGAAACTTTAAATTTTAAAAATCTATTACAATAAAAAACACATAGGGGACAGAGATTTAGCTCAGTGTTACTGTGCCTGCCTCAAAGGCACACAGTCCTGAGTTCGATCCCCCATACCAAAAACAAAAACCCACATAGCCATTAATGCCTCTTAAAATACCCTGCCTCAATTCAGATACATATCTTTCTCACCATTTTCTAAAGCCTTTCTGGAAATCCTTTCTTTCATGAGTACCTTTACAAGATGTGATAAACAGCATTGTGAATGACTCTGCCAGGTACCATCCAAGGGAAAGATAGGCTTGAAAAAATGCTGGTGTGTCCTCATTCACCTATTCATTGGATCTGGACTTTGGGTTTTTTTGTTTTGTTTGGTTTGGTTTGGTTTGGTTTGGTACTGGGGGGATTGAACTCAGGACCTTGCACTTGTGCAGGCAGCAGAACCACTGAGCTAAATCCCTGGCCCTTATCTGGCACTTTGTGACTTCTGGCTTTTCCCCAAAGTCAAAAATGATTTTGAAAGGTAAATGTTTTGAATTGATTCAGGACGCTGAGGCAACTACAACAGGGTAACTGAATACACTCATGAAAGAGGACTTCCAGAAGTGCTTCAGAAAATGGCAAGAGTGATGGGATGAGTTCTGTCTTCAGTAAGAGAGAGTATGAGAGTATTTTGAGGGGGATTAATGGCAGTGTGTCTTTTCCCATAATGCTTTTTATTTTTTTGTACCAGGGATAGAACTTGGGTCCTTGTGCTGGCAAGGCAGGCAACAAAAACCACTAAGCTAAATCCCCTGCCCCCCATAATACATTTTTAAAATTTAAGCATTCACTGTATTTTATCACACTTAATAAATTTTTTCACTTTACAAATCCTTGCAGACAGTCTTTTGCTTCCATCTCTTTTCATTCTGTATTTTCTATGTCGTCTGGTATGCTATTTATACCTCTCTTAAGAGTCAGCTAAAGCTTTTAATAAGTAGTCTATATACATACATACATACATACATATATATAAAATGAACTTCTTTTAATAGTACAAGAAACACTTGATGTTTCCCCCTTGCTCTGGCCATTTTTTGGCCTCCTGTGTTATCTAGCTCTACTCTCTGCCATGCTTTCTTTTTCTTTTTTCTGGTACCAGGGACTGAACTCAGGACCTTGCGCTTGTGAGGCAATAGCAGCACCACTGAGCTACATCCCCAGCTGCCATGCTTCTTTTTATCTCCAGTCTCTATTAATAGCTTCCAGTAAATCATAGTTCATTCCATAGTCCTTCTCAGTCTAGTTTTTATTTTACTGACTTTTGACCTCCATACCTCCTTAGCTTCCTTTTCTCATGGCTAGTTAACTGCCTTTTCTTCTCTGCCTTGCTGATAGTCTCTTTATAACTTTATCAGTATTCCTTTATAGCACCTTTTCCTCAGCTACTACTTCTGTCCTGTTACCCTGGTAGTTAATGTTCTCAGTGTTTGCACCTTGAGTGTCTTAGTTAAAACCACTGCTGGCTTTTACTTTGATGAGATTTTAAATAATTATAGACATATTACAAGAACCCTCAAGAGTGATCATGCCTGTGAAGAACCCTTTATAACTGAAGAGCAGTTCTGACTCTTTGATCTTTCATCTCAGTGTCACATTTTGCTCTTATCTTAGGCCAGTGGTGGCTAACTATATGATATGCGTGTTGCAGCATGCTGTTTATATCATTGAAGTCTCTAAAAGGTTTGCCCTCACTGTCCTAAGTTCTGGGAATTTCACTGATATTCCTCGGATGACTCCTGAAAACACATGTCTAGACTTCGCCCTTTTTTGGAGCTACCCACAGGCTTTATGTAGGCAAGCATTCTGCCACTGAGGTCTATGCCCATGCCTTTTACATTTTTTTTTTTTTTTTATTTTTGAAACAGGGTCTCACTAAATTATCCAAGCTGGACTCAAACTCACAATCGTACTCCCTCAGTATCTTGAGTAGCTAGGCTTTTAAAGGCATGTGCCATAACCCAGCCACCATGCCTTTTAAAGGGGGTACATTAGAAAAACCTAAAAGCTTATGTTCTTTTTACCATTTAGCTGCTGGAACTTAATTGAGATTCTATTTGTTGAGTAGACACTGTGGATCTAGGATTATCGAAGTACAACAGAAGCATGCACGTCTCTCCCTCTTATAAACATAATATCTGGTTGTACAAGTGTACAATTCTTAAGAGTATATTTGTGATGTTATAAAAAATTATATGGGAGTTTTTCAGATTAACTACTTTAAATCAGAATAATGAGTGTCTACATAGGTTTTCAGTAGGCTTGATTCAAGTAAACTTAGAATTTAGTAAGTTATTAACAAATGCCTAGAGTTTTTTATTAGAGTTTTTAAGTAACTTCAAAAAAGATATATTAGGGCCAGGGATTTAGCTCAGTAGTTCTGCTACCTACCTCACAAGCGCAAGGTCCTGAGTTTGATACTCAGTACTACTACTACTACATCATCATCATCATCATCATCATCATCATCATAATAATAATAATAATAATAATAATAATAATAATAATAATAAAAGTTAGAAGCCTGGGGATATAGCTCAGTGGTGCTGCCGCCTTCCCCTCAAGCACAAGGTCCTGAGTTTAATCCCTGGAACCAAAATAATAATCATAATAATAATAAGAATAAAATGACAAGTGGCTCAGACTGTGAAATCAAAGATGTTAAATTTGTAGAGGCAGTTTGTCCTAAATGCATATTTTCATTGTCACTTTTTTCTTTCTTTAAGCAACCTGTCACATAATAGGCGTGTGCCAAAAATTGGGCCTTACCCAGATTATTCCTCTTCCTCATATATTGAAGACTCCATCCATCACACTGATAGCATCGTGAAGAATATTTCCTCTGAGCATTCAATGTCCAGCACACCTTTGACTACAGGGGAAAAGAACCGAAACTCAATTAATTATGAACGACAGCAAGCACAAGCTCGAATCCCCAGCCCTGAAACAAGTGTCACCAGCCTGTCCACCAACACAACCACCACCAACACAACTGGGCTCACTCCAAGTACTGGCATGACCACTATATCTGAGTTGCCATACCCAGATGAAACAAATCTCCATGCCACAAATGTAGCACAGTCTATTGGTCCAACTCCTGTGTGCTTGCAGCTGACAGAAGAAGACTTGGAGACCAATAAGCTAGACCCAAAAGAAGTTGATAAGAATCTCAAAGAGAGCTCTGATGAGAACCTCATGGAGCATTCTCTTAAACAGTTCAGTGGGCCAGATCCACTGAGCAGCACCAGTTCCAGCTTGCTTTACCCACTCATAAAGCTTGCAGTGGAAGTGACTGGACAGCAGGACTTCACACAGGCTACAAATGGCCAAGCGTGTTTAATTCCTGATGTTCCACCCACTCAGATCTATCCTCTCCCTAAGCAACAGAACCTTCCTAAGAGACCTACTAGTTTGCCTTTGAACACCAAAAATTCAACAAAGGAGCCCCGTCTAAAATTTGGCAGTAAGCACAAATCAAACTTGAAACAAGTAGAAACTGGAGTTGCCAAGATGAATACAATCAATACAGTAGAACCTCACGTGGTGACAGTCACCATGAATGGTGTGGCAGGTAGAAACCACAGTGTTAACTCTCACGCTGCCACTCAGTATGCAAATGGAGTGGTACCATCAGGCCAGACAGCCAATATAGTGGCACATAGGGCCCAAGAAATGCTGCAGAATGAATTTATTGGTGAGGACACACGGCTAAATATTAATTCCAGTCCTGATGAGCATGAACCTTTACTGAGACGAGAACAGCAAGCTGGCCATGATGAAGGTGTTCTGGATCGTCTTGTGGACAGGAGGGAGCGGCCACTAGAAGGTGGCCGAACTAATTCTAATAATAACAATAGCAATCCAGGTTCCGAACAAGATGTTCTTACACAAAGTATTTCAAGCACAGTAGCAGATCCTGGGCCATCAAAGCCCAGAAGAGCACAGAGGCCCAATTCTCTGGATCTTTCAGCCACAAATGTCCTGGATGGCTGCAGTATACAGAGTAAGTGGAGTTACTCCTACGTATCCTTTGGAACTACTTAACTGTGTAGAAGCTGAGCGTGGTGGTACATGCCTGTAATCCCAGCACTTGGGGAGGCTGAAGCAGGAGGATCACCTCAAGTTCAAGGCCAGTGTGGGCTACAGAGTGAGACCCTGTCTCAAAAAAAAAAAAAAAAAGTGTAGAATCAGACTGTGTTTCAACTGGTGGTTAACCTTTACCACTTTTGGAAATGAATTAGGCCATTGTTTAGGTCTCAAAAGTAATTAGACTATTATGAAGAAAAAATTTTTGTCATCAAGAATTAAAAGATCATTGTCACAAATAGAATTTGTGTGTCAGTTTAATATGTGCTTCATGTAGCTACTGCTTTTTAATGTAGTTTATATACTTGCTTTTGAATAGATGAGATTCAATAGATACCAAATATGTCAGAGCTCCAAGTAATATTATGGCACTATAACTTTTAAAACATTTTATTATGCTTATTAATGTCTGTTATATCTACCTTTAGATTTTAACATTTAGTCTTCAAAGTTCAGAGAAGTCACAATAAGGAAACTATAAAGTTGCTCTGTTTTTTGGTATCATCTTTTTCAAAAATTATATATTGAATCTCATATTCTTATGGTATTGTAGTATGGGCCCCAAAGCAGTTTTAAAAAGTTGATGCTTGGCATCTTGCCCTGAAGGAGTGACAACAGAAGACAGGAGAGCTCCCCAAAATCTCTAATAGTCATTATGGTACAAACTGTTGGTTTTTGTTTTTTTTTTTTTTATCAAGTCATATTTTATGATTGTCATAGACCACACAGTGGACTATTGGAAGGAAATTATCGGTAAAATCTAGGCATTTGCTTGAGTGGCTCGTATTATAGACCACCTTTATTGTATGGCTCTATTTCAGTAAAACATCTTGTTCAGTATTGGAAGAGGGAATTACTGAAAAATTTGTTCCCTAATATTTCTGCCATTCTCCTGAAACATATTATATGCTGAATGCCTTCTCAATCTGATGCATTTTGAGCATTTGTGGGTTGATTAAGTGTATTTTTACTAAGTTGGGATATCTGCCAAAAACCAAAAGATTTGTTTTTACTTGTATCTTTTCTATATTTTCTTCCCTGTGCTAGAGGATAAAAAATATTTGGCTTAAGGAATCTTCAAAATATTGTAAGCGATTAAGCTTTGCCTGGAATAATATTGCCTGGCATCATTACTTTCAGAAATGTCCATCAGTCTCTGCCACATGTATTGGTTCACCTGTTCTCAGAATTCAGCCCTAAGCTTTCACTTCTTTTTTTTTTTCTTTTAATGTGTAGTTCATTTTTCTGTACTTTTATTTTTGGTAGGTGAGTCAACACAGGATGGCAAGTCAGGATCAGGTGAAAAGATCAAGAAACGTGTGAAAACTCCCTATTCTCTCAAGCGGTGGCGCCCCTCTACTTGGGTCATCTCCACTGAACCACTGGACTGTGAGGTCAACAACAATGGCAGTGACCAAGCAGTTCCTTCCAAATCGAGCACCGCTGTTTACCTTGCAGAAGGAGGCACTGCCACAACCATGGTGTCTAAAGATATAGGAATGAATTGTCTGTGAAATGTTTTCAAGCTTATGGAGTAAAATTATTTTTTGCATCATTTAAACATGCAGAAGACATTTTTTTAAAACTGCTTTATCTTCCTGTCAGTACCCCCTCCCATACCTGCAACAAGGACTTGCTTTAAATAGATTTCAGCTATGCAGAAAAATTTAGCTTATGCTTCCATATTTTTTAATGTTTTTTAAGTTTTGCACTTTTTGTCTAGTCTCGCTAAAGTTGTATTTGTCTGTTATGACCACAGAATTATACACGTGTGTATATCAAAAGTGGTCTCAAAATATTTTTTTAAGAAAAAAAGGCAAAAACAATGTATTGCTGATAATCAGTTTGGACCATTTTCTAAAGGTCATTAAAACAGAAGCAAATTAACTACAGGTTTGACTGCAGTGGTGTCTGGTATCCATGTTTTATTTCTGGGCACAAGCTAGTTTGTTCGTTTTCAAACCTATTTCCTGTTGGATATTTCTTGTCTCTTGTATTTTGTTTGAATGTGCAATAGTCTGTGGATCACAAATAAGCTTTCTTGTAAACTCTCTTCCTAACAGGGCACAGATTCTTCCATAATACAATCATTTTTCTCTCCCATTCTTCCATAATATAAACAGTTTTCTCCACTATCTCCTATACTTTCTGTAGGTCAGTTCTGTGACGGTAAATTTTGCACAGGAGAAAGCAGCTACCCTATTTGTGCGTTCCTCCTTCTCATGGAGAGTGCAGGAACATTGTCACAAAGGGCTCTGAAGAAGGAACTACCAAAACCAAAGAAATGGAATGCCATTTCTTTTAACCTTCCAAATCTTAAACATTTCCTTCCAGGCATTTTAATAAGCATGTTTGGTTCTGGTTGAAAATTCATTAAGAGAGCATAGAACAAAGTACAGGAAATCAAATGTTTTTTCCATTTTATTTTTCTCTGTATGTTTATGTTCCATATTCATTTATTTTAAAAATACATTTTTATCAGAAAACTTGTAGAGCTAAACTTACATGAAATTTTTTTTTTCTCAGTACAGGGGATTAAACTCAGGACCTTGCACTTGAGAGATAGGCTCAGTACCACTGAGCTAAATCCCCACAACCCCCTTACATGAAAATTTTAAGTTAGTTTATGGGTAAAACAATATAATGTCATAACCTTCATTCTCTAAAAAGGTCATTTTTGACTCAAATAAAATTACATATTTCCTGTTTATAACTTTAAAAGTAATTCATAGTCTTCTACCTGTAGTATCTTTTCTTTTGTTCCCAAGCAAAGCGTGGTGAGTTTACCTGAAAATGATTCCTCTTCCCATGACCAAAAACACTGTGTAGAGAAATCATCCCTCTGGCTCGAGCATCCCTGTGGGAGAAAGGCTGCTGCCAAACTTATCTTTTTGAGCAAACTGAGATTAGCCATCTTTCTTTGCAAAACTGTATTTCTTTGCTCTCCTGTTTTCATAATTTCTGCTTTTGCCAGCTTTTCACATGATCTTTTACATGTGAACAGCATTTATTATTTATATTTTTATAGAGCGTACCTTTTGGTGATAACATGCCCTTGAAATTATACTGTGTTTTAAAGTTTCCATTGCTTATTTCATTACTAATATCTTCTCTAAAACAGCAACTTCTGTATTTTTTTCAATAAAGCACTTTTTGGCGAAAAGGGAATTTTTTCTAAACATTATTATCTATCAGTTTGCAAAGTGATCTTATTTTCAGATTCTGAATACTTACTAGACATTAATTCTAAGATTTTTCTGAGAGGTAAAAATTAAGAGAAAAAAAAATCCTGAATTTCCTGATTTAGATTATTTTCTGAACAATAATTTTTCATTTATAGTCCTCTGTCTTCATCATTTACTAAACAAAACTATATTTCTGAATTTTCTGTCCAAAATATTTATAAATTTTTTGTATATAAGCCTGTTATTTGCCATCTGCCATGACTTTATGAGTTAGACATATTTCCCATTTTCAGCAGCTTTGCTGAACACAATTCTCAGTTCAAGAATTAACAATATCTTACTAGTGCCCAGGGTTTCTACCTTTTATGTTTTACTGGCCCCCTCTTGATTCAGACCCTTAACATGTTTTAGTCTCTTGGCATATCCTTTTTCTCATATAGCTGTTATCTTTTTTCTGTGTATCACATTATTGTATCTTTTCCAGTAAATTTTCACTTAGTTCTCTTTATGTCTTTCAAATAGATTTCAAGGTACTATTTTCAAAAATTTCTGGGACAGTTTCACATCAAAATATATTTCATCTCCAACTTGCAGCAATGAGTATAAGTGACCATTTGAGGTCTAACTCTTTTTCTGTCAAAATAGGAGTTATCTTACATTCTGATATACTTTGTATTTGGGCCAGTTGATTGTAAGTTTTCCAACATTTTAACATTTAATAATAGTATTATTTTTAAAATTAATATACTAGAGTAAAAGAACTCTGTATATTTTCCCATTTCATGCAAACATGTTTAAAAGTTTCCCCAGTTTTATTACTCTTGAAAGAGCAGGAAAGGTAGAAACAACAGATTATTTTAATAAATATTAGATTATATTTTATATCCAATTTTTAGAATCTGTTATACAAGCAAGCAAAATCGCTTTAAGTGACTCATGACTCAAATGAATTGCTAAGTTTATTCATCTGATAATGTTTCAAAGCTGATATTCAACTAAAATCACAGAATTTTGCATGTCAAAAAGAACTTAGGCCCTTTAAATAAAAGGACATTCGATTAATAAATATTAAAATTTATTTCACTAGATAGTAAGTACCTTAAAAACATCATAATATATTAATAGCTCCCTTAACAAAAATCCTAATTATATGCCAGAATTAAGTAATTAAAATAACTTGATTTGTTTTTTTGTTTTTGTGGTAATGGGGATCAAACTCAGGCCCTTGCGCTTACAAGGCAGGCTGCGGAACCACTGAGCCAAATCCCCGGCCCTGAAATAACTTGGTTTGAATTACAGTTAGACTAAAATGACTTACATATAAATCCTAAAAAAATTTTTTTAATGCATAATTGAAAAAATACACTTCTTACAAAAAGTTATGACAAGGAAAATACTAAATGCTGGGATACACCTACGTTGCTGCTTTTAATCCTCACAACAAGCAGAGGAACATTATAATTGCTATTCCTACTTTACAAATGAAGAAACAAAAGAGAAGCTAGGTTCGTAGTTTGTCCCAGGTTCGAATCTAGTAATAGACAAAGCTGGGGTTTTAACCTGGATGTGCCTTCCAAATCAGATACTATAATTTTAGCAATTATGCAAACATAAGACGTATAGACATGTCAATGCTTATTGCTGCTTAAGAAATAATTACTAACTCAAGGCAAAATTTGATTCTACATAAATGCCATCACAAATCTTAAAATCATTCACCAAATCCATGGCCTTCTTACATTGCAGAACTAAAAGTAAAATAAATGTAAGGGGAAAGTTAAGGTAGCTATGGAAACAATAGACTTTTTCCTAAATTTATTTCATACTAGATTTGGAACAGTTAATTTAGTATCAGTCTCATCAGTCCTTTGCCTGTATCTTCAAACTGTCTACTTCAGAAAGTGACTTTAGAAAATTGGTTATTCCAGAGAACTAGTTGGGTAGAATATAAGAAGGAAAAAAGGACAACTTGTTTATAAAGCAGTTTAGTTTAACTTCTTTACAAGTATCTACTTGTTCTAGAAAGTGTATGTTAGTTCTGAATGTGAACATAGAAGTATTGTACTCAAGTATATGTTTCAGTGGGAATTCTCACAAAATTTGGCAAATATTTTTATGTATTTTCAAGTTTTGCTTGAAAATGGAATACCTGGTAGGCCCCTGCTATTATAGTGAATTTCCTTGTCTCTGTAACTCTTCTTGAAAGTTATTTAAAATGAAAATTATTTCAATAAACTTTGCTTCCTTTTTTTATATTTATGGACATAAATATTTCATTGGAGGTTAAGTCCTAGAACTTGACATTAAATTGTACTCTATACCATTTTTATAAATTTATATTGAACTTACTCCTAGTTTTATGGAGATTATTACAAAATTATTCATAGATTGCTTTATATATTTATCTTACCAGCTAACTCCTTAAAGTTATAATCTGTACATGCATTATTTGACTATCTAGATCATTCTAGAAATTATGTAACATTCCCACATCCAGAAATCTCTTTCAGACTGAAATGTTTCTAAATATTCATACTCTTGACTGGCAGTGTTCTTTTCAGCTGATGAAACTGTATTTTAGCTTTTAGATTATAACTATGCAAACTTCGCCACAGCTACCTTACATTATCCTCTCCTAAATAACTCATGATTAAGTGAATCTGATAACCATTGAGCTAGTAACACAAAAGTTATCAAAAGAAGGCTTTTATAGAAGGTTTCCAAATTAGCATACAAGAAAAGTGTAGCTCACAAGATGCTGTAGTGCACCTCCTATCCATTCCTCTCTTTAAATCACCTCATTGTTTATGTCTCACTCTATCCCTCTGCTATTGACTTGCAACCTATGTGCCAGGGAAGTTTTCATGCCTAGGCTGTCTCCTTTTTTAAACTTGGAATTCATTTCTGTAGCCCAATAGGAAAAAAAGAACAGTTGCTCATCCTCCCCAATATTGTTATTCTAGTTTGCTTCAGGCGCCTGAGTTAACATCTAAATCTCACTTCTTCCAGATATAACTCACATTTCCTTTAGCTTTTTCTCATTGGTCCTATTTTAATTACTTTATTTAAGAGAACATTAATTACTCCAGTTAAGTAATAGTTCAAGGGTTTGATATAATTGAGTTAATATTGTTATAATTTGATATTGGATTCAACCATCAAACCACCAGGAAATTGGCACTTCGTTTTTGTATTTCTAACATTTTCTATTAAATTTTGGAGTTATGATTTTATATTTTCACTAGCTATAACTAAAAAGCCATGCATACAGAATTGTATAACATTTTGCTATTAAATTGTTTAACCTATATTGCAGCAAGCTTAGTGTTATAATTGAGCCACAACATTTTACATGTTTCTTTATATCAAATACTGTGTTAAACACTACATATAAGATTAACTTTCTAAAACAACCCTAGAGAAATCAGGTATTATCGATGAACATTTTTGAGGACCACTTTTGAAATACCGTTGTTTCACAGCACAGACTTAAATGACTGAGTAAAGTTGAGTGTTTGCATAGAAAAAAAATTAGAAATTTATCTCAAGGCATAAATACTTAAAGATTTATACTATAAATTAAAATTCCCAAAATAAATATATTGTATCTTTAAAAATTCCAATTCCATTACTGTGGTACAGTATTTGTAATATTACTATTAAAAATTATAAACATACACATTTATTTTTAGAACAATTTGAAATCCACATTAAAGTATGGGCTAGAGAAGGAAACTTTAGAGATCAATTAATTGATTAGGTATGTCCAGTTTATGACTAATTTTTTTCTTTTCACAGTACTGGGGATTGAACTCGGGGCCTTTGCACTGAGCTACATCCCCAGCCCTAGGCTGGGCTCAAATTTGAAATCCTGCCTCAGCATCTCAGTGTACTGGGATTATAGGCATTTACTACCACACACAGTTTTGTGATTGAATTTTTAACAAAATTAGAGTAACTGAAATTACAGTTTGACTTTTTTTCAAACACATTGGTTTATCCATTTATTTGTATGTTAGATTTCAGAAGCATTTTTATGTTTCACAATCACATAAAATGTTACTTAAAATCTCAGGGCCCCTTTTATCCCTTTATACACTGAAAAAGTTCAATTAGTACAAGCAAGGAATTAAGTCCAGTTGAATATTTAAAATGTTGCACAGTTCATTTAATATTTCATCTTATTTGACTGAGTTCACATAGAAATAATATTTCATTAATCATAAAAACTCTCCTAGTTCTGTAATTGCTGACTAGAAGGAAGGATTCAACTAATTGGCTGCTTGTCATAGCAAATTTAGGCCTTTGAATTGAAACAACAGCTTAAAACCTTAATAATGTTCTTTGGCTAAATGGTTGTGCAAGATGAAACTCATTTCATTTTGTGTTTTGTTTTTAAATAAAAGAATGTAGTAAAGTTATTCCTCTGAGGTAAAATCTTGAGAGGTGATTTAAAATTACATATCTAAAAGTGGAGTAATGAGTTTATAGCTATGGTAATGGGGTGGACAAATTTGTGAAAGTGATCTATGGTAACCTGTGCATCCCATTGTCAGGGCCGATTAGAATTCTTTGAACCAGACAAGCTGAAGATCTCAATTGGTATGCTGTATATTTAAATCCAGTGAAGTTATGTGTAATCAGTCTCTTGTCTTTGGCTCTCCTCTTTGTTACCAATCCTCTTAAGTATGTAAAAGAAACATTTTTAAAGAAGCTTACCAGTTTTAAAAAAAAAAAAACAAATTCTTAAAAGATACAGTTCAAAAATAGGTTATAATTTAACATTGAATTGCTTGATTGCTGTGGCTTTTCTTTTCCTGGTCACATTTATTTATTTAAACAATGTTTGTATGTGTTGTTTTCATTTCTGTAGACATTATATTATGTAAGTGTTTGTGTAAGCTGGAATCATCCTTAGTTTTCTGTTGACAATTTTTCAAATGAAGATACATGGATAATTGTAAAATACACTAACTCTTAGGGTGTTGTAGTAGCTGAAACATGGAGATGTGTAGCTGCCATGCTTTTTCTGAATAGACAGGAGAAATGTGCTACAGAGTATTCATTTCTGAGGATGCTTTTCTGGAAAAAGGCTGAAAAATATTGACGCTTCCTCAGAACTCTTTCTTGTTAACGGGTATCTTTTGTTGGTGTGTTTTGCTCTTAACATTAAAAATAGAGTGTCATATATGAATTAATGAATAATTACTTTCAGTTATTTTGCTTTTGTATAAGCTGTCTGAGACCTTGCTATGCTGTATAAGTTGTGTTTGATGGATCAGTGTGAGTATGAAATAAAACAAATCACTTTTCTTTTGTATTATCTATGGATGCCACTATGAAAGCTGACATTAAGCCACTAAAGAGTTTTCTATGAATAAGTGTAAGTAAATGCTTTGATATATATAAACCTAAATAAAAAGATTGTATTGATACAAAGACATTGGAGAAGGAGATTTTAAGACAGTTCTTTAGGTTTAAAAAGGCTTGCTGTAAAATGGTGCATTATTCCATTTATTAAAGATCATATTAATGACAACAGTAATTGTATTTTCTTTATGAGGTCTCCAGAAATTTATTGCTGGTGTATTTTATGTATTTTGCACTAGACCAGTAAATGTTCTGTTTGATACGACTTTCATAACTCAAGATGCTTTTTTTTTTTTCATACCGGGGATCGAACTCTGGTCCTTGGGCTTGCAAGGCAGGCAGTGGAACCCGAGCTAGATCCCCAGCCCGCAGGATGCATTTTTAAAAATCTGAAGTGGAAGTGGGCCGGGGATTTAGCTCAGGGGCTCTGCTGCCTGCCTTGCTAAGCACAAGGTCCTGAGTTCAATCTCCAGTACCAAAAAAAAAAAAAAAAAAAAAAAAATTGGCTGAAGTGAGAATAATAGTTGCTACAAAATATTCTGGGAACTGTTAGTTGTTTTACATACATCATTGTGTTCGATTTCTGTTGCTGTGACAAAATACATGAGAAAGTCAATTTAAAGATAGGAATGATTTCTCTTGGCTCACGGTTCAGAGGTTTCAGTCCATGGTCAGTTGTTCCCGTTGCTGTGGACCTGGGGTGAAGAAGAACGTGATGGAGGGCATGCCAAAGGAAGGTTGCTCACCTGAGGGCAGCAAAATAGAGCAAGAAAACCAAAGAGGAGAGGACCAGGAACAAGTTACACCCTTCTGAGGAACATGAGTGACTGACTTCCTTCAGCTGGGCTTTACCTGCTAATAGCTCATTCAGCTATGAACTATCAATGACCCATGATGACTCATCAGTAACTGTAATGAGGTTAGTGCCTTCTCCAGGCCCCACCTTTCAACATTGTTACTTTGGAGATCAAGCCCTCAGTAACGTGAATTTTGGGGAACATTTTAGATCCTAACCATAACAGTTTATAATTCTCATTAAAACCCTGCAAAATAAATATCTCCTTTTTATAAGAAACTGGAGATCAGAGAAATTAAATACTTGCTGAAAGCCACATATTCTAACAATTTTCCACTGTACTTTGAACCACAGCTTTCAGGTTTACTTGTGACAGAAAGACAAGTTTCACAAACAAAAAATGAAAACCGTTCAACAAATTGGCCAGGAGCATTCCTGAAATATTTTAGGGGTGGTGAGAAGCTAGTAGGTACTCAAGTACAGTGTACCCTCGACTTACAAACTCGATTGGTTCCCTAGGGCTGGTTGTAATTCAAACTGGTTGTAAGTCAGTACAGCTGCGATTTGGATGTTTATCTGGGTACACACTATAGATAACAAGAGGCTGATGAATCTTCCGTTAACCTAATTAAACCCAAGTTCGTATGTCAGGCAGGTTGTAACTTGAGGGTTGGGTGGGGGATTTAGTTCAGTTCCACTGCCTGCCTCCTAACCTGAGGGTTCATACTAACTATTTCTATTCACCTAAGATTGTGGCTGTACTCAATATATCTTTTTTGGTTAGTTCTTTATATTTTTAGAAGGCGATCTTTACTTCTCCCCTCCCCACCTTTGGTCCCAAATTCCTGATGCTCAAGCAATTTTCCTGCTTCAGTTTCCCAAG